TGTTGATGATGATGTGTATGGAAATATCTTTGACTGGATTAGCATACAGTGTATTCATGCTGGAGAAAATAAATAAATAAATAATTAAATAAATTACTAGGCATGCAAAGAAGCAGAAAATATATAAACCATAATGAGGAGGAAAGCAATAACAGAAATATCCCTGGAAAATTCTCAAATAATTAGGAATGAAATAACAGACTGAAATAACTCATGGCTCAAATAAGAAATGAAAAGAGATTTAAATATGCTTTGGAGAAAGAAAAAAAAAAAAAAGAAAGAGAGAAAGAAAAGAAGACAAAGAAAGAAATGCTTTGAACTGGGTCCGGCAGGTGGTGTGGTGAAGGGCACTGGGCTCTCACATGACTGACCATGGTTCTAGCCCTGGATCTGACGGCTTGCTTTCTCACTTTCCTTCTCTCTCTGGTCAAATTAAAAGAAATAAATAAAGTTAAAATATAAATAACTCTTTAAAGAAATGCTTTGGACTGAATAAAAATAAAAACAAAAACATTTATCAAAAGCATCTATTCATGGGAACCAGTAGTTAGCATAATGGCTATGTCGCTGGACTCCCACGTAGTCGACTGCGGTTCGTGTCCCGGACCCAGTGGCTTAAAACTCACGCCGGGCACGTGTACGTGTGTGCCCAAGATCCTGAGAGGAGAATGGAGGAGAAGGGATTGTGGCGTGGCCATCCCCCCTGGGGGGTGATTTCTCGCTTTGTGTCTCTATGTCTCTCTCTGTCTGGCGAGAGCACGTGCCCTATAGCAAAAACCTCTCCCCCCCCCAAAAAAAAAGCATCTATTTATTTATGGGTACTACTAAAAGAGTATTTAGACAATTTTAGTTCAGTGTATTTATTTTGTGTATTTATTTATTTTTTAAAGAATTATTTTATTGGGACCAGCAGTTAGCGTAATGGCTATGTCGCTGGACTCCCACGTAGTTGACCGCGGTTCGTGTCCCGGGGCTGGTGGCTTAAAACTCACACCGGGCACGTGTGCGTGCATGCCCAAGATCCTGAGAGGAGAATGGAGGAGAAGGGATTGTGGCGTGGCCATCCCCCCTGGGGGGTGATTTCTCGCTTTCTTTCTCTCTGTCTCTCTCTGTCTGGCGAGCGCATGCGCCCTATAGCAAAAACCTCTCCCCCCCCCCAAAAAAAAGATAATTATTTTATTTAACTTTATTTATTTATTTGTATATATTTTTAAAATTTGACCAAGAGGGAGAGAGAGAGAGAGAGAGCAAGCTGCCAGGTCTGGGACTCGAACCATGGTCGGCCATGTGGGAGTCCAGCACCCTTAACCACCACGCCTGCCAACCCCTAGTGCATTTTTATTTATTTTATTATTATTATTCATACACTAAATCACTATACATCATTTAGATTGTGAAGAGACTTTACCCAGCATGATATATCCTCAGTCCAGCCCAGTTGAGACCACCATACACATCCTCGTCAACAGATAAAAAACCTTATCTGTGTCCCACAAGTGTCTTACCTCTCCA